CCCCAAAACCCCAAAACCCCAAAACCCCTGAAGATATAAAAGGCGAAATGTAAGTAGAAATTATAATTAATAGAATTTGGCTAAATACAAAAGAATTATATCTATGATACAAAATACTAGCAACAAAGAAACTAATGGACTATTCAGGCAGAATCCAGGTATGGACAGTGTCAAGATCAACAATACTATCTATGTAGCTGATCTTCCTAGGAATACATCTTACTTAGATCTCACCCAAATCTTTGAAAAAATTGGCCCTTGTGAGATTATCATCAAAAGGTATCTATAATTGACTAATTTTCAGTAGACCCCCTTTCAAGAACTTTTATTTTGCTTTTGTGACTTTCACTGACCCACTGCATGGTATCAACAATTCATGTCAATCATCAATCCCAATATAGTTACCAAAGCCTTTGAAACTTACAGGTATCCCATCATCAGAGGGAAATGCTCTAGAATTCTCGAGTACTCCCTCAAATTGACCAAGGCTCCCTGCAAAGATATGCCATACGATCTTTAAGATTCCTATCTTTTCGTCAAGGGATTTCAGTCATTGAATTGGACTCACTAAAATCTTTATGACAACTTCAAGGTGTTTGGAGACATAGTAAGTTGCAAGGTGTCCATTGACAAGGACCACAACTGCAAAGGATACGGCTACATCTAAATGAAAGACTAGAATGCAGCCAAGCAAGCCATTGTGCAGGTAACATTTCAGCAGAAATTAAAGACTATGTAGATGAATGGTAAAGAAATTGAAGAATCTGCTTTGCATGTTTCAAAGTATGATATCACTAAGAAGAGCTAATTGAAATCATAAGGATTCAATAATTTGTATATTAAGAACTTCCCTACACCAGATTTCGATGATCAAGATCTAATCGTAAGACACGTCTCTTAAACTTCAATATAGACACTCTTTTCAAAGTATGGAAAGATAGCAAATGCGTAGGTAATGAAGGATCAATTTAACAAGTCAAAAGGATTTGGCTTTGTGTCTTTCCAGAACTCTACCGATGCAGTGAAAGCTCTCCAGGAGAACAGTATCAATGGCTTGTATGTATGTGAAGCTAAGACTAAGGAGTAAAGATAATAAGAGCTGCAAAGATAAACTCTTGGCTTTAAGAAGTCAATGATGTACTTGAATCTCTACGTCAAAGGCTTTAACAATCTGGAAACCACTGAGGACGACCTAAGACAATACTTTTCAGCCTTTGGTGAATTGAGAAATCTGAAGATTAACCCAAATGGCTATGCTTACGTCTGCTATAAAGATAGAGAGCATGCTAGGAGAGCAAAAGAATAGGCCCCATAGATTCCATTGAATGGCTAAAGACTGACAGTACTGTTCTTCGAGCCGAAGGAGTTGAGATCACTTCAGATAGAGGAGCAAATGGACATGAAACAGTATAACTAGAAAAAATACCTAGACAAGCTCAATACCCCTATCTCTGAACTGCAAAGAACTAACGAGGTGACTGGAGTCTTTGATCTTATTTCTAACCTAGGCAGAATCCTTGATTTCAGCCAGAAGCATCCTGTTCAGAACTAGAACTTTTACAATCAAGGCCAGAGAATGGTGAAACCTTGGAGCAGATAAAATGGAAACTAGCAGCAATAGAATCCTCAGCAGAGAGTTGTCAATGCTCCATAGATGTAGAACTTTCATAGAAAGCCATTGGGACAACTCAATAACAGCTAGGCAAATGAAAGAGTTGCTACTAATCCAGATAAAATAAAGCCAGCTATGAATTACTATCCTCAGCAATTACCCATGCACATCCCTATGCCTCTTCCAATGCCAATACCTCTCCCACCATCACAACTAATGATGAACATGAATCCTGTCACATCTTATCCTCTCCAAGGTCTTTCCTTTCCAATGAGTTCAAGCAATTAGACACAGCCTCAACTCCAGATGCCTGAATAATCTCAGAATGATGTTCTTGAAAGCTACAATAACATGATGTTTGAAATGTTCAAGAGTGAAGAGTTCAAGTCAGCCGATACTAAGAAGAGAAAAGAATTGATTGGCAATAACATCTATGAGACTGTGGAGAGACTTGCAGGTATTGATAAAGCACCAAAGATCACAGGCATGCTAATTGACTTGCAGGAGTTTGAACTTAACAAGGCTGTTGCTACTCTTCAGAATTTAGAGTAGAAGGTAACTATGGCTTCACAGATGCTCAAGAAAAATGAAGAACAGCTTAAGGGCTCTCCATCAATAACCACTCCTGAAAAGATCACTCAATTTAAATTCAGCTCCCCAACCTTGAAATGAATAAGCTATGAGAATTATATTTCTATAGTTTAATTGAGCTCATGTTTGGATCAGTTATGATTTTGAATGAATGAGTTTAATCTTTAATTTCATAAACCATAACATATCCTTGAAGGTAATATAACTTCATTAATTTTAAAGTATATATTATCTTTTTTATCTATTAATTATCATTAAATGGGGTTTTGGGGTTTTGGGGTTTTGGGGTTTTGGGG